TACCCTCCTGGAGCACGTCCCTGTGGAAGGGGCCCCAGAGCTCTTCCATCCCACAGCCCTCTGCTGAGCATGGTCTTGGGGACACGAGATTTGTGTTGTGCAGCTGGTGGGAACCAGAGGCTCCCTGAGCCCCATCCCGTAGGAGGAACACAAAGTTTGGCCAATTGGTGAAGCATGGAGATGCCTAGGACCTCTGCCAGGAGTGGCAGAGCCTGGCCACCATCACCACATGGGACTCTCCCCATGGGAACAGCCTTGTTTGCTGCTGAAACCAATGTGGAGGGCTGCATGGCTGGAGACACCCTGAGCAGCCTGCAGCAGTTGTGGTTTGCTTGTGCACAGAGGTCCACGTGACCTCCCACACCGTAGGGAGGGAGTCCCTACAGACACAGCTGGATTAAACTCCTGCTGGCTCAAAATGTACAGAGTTGCACTGAGGCCCAAAGGTGCTGCGGAAGATTCACCAAAATCATTCAGGAAACATGGGGCAAAGCCAAGGCTCAAATTACATCACCACAGTCACAGCACAGCATGTGTTCCCCTTCCCCTTGGATCTTTCCACAGGGCTCCAGCAGAAAATGTTTTAAAATTCCTTCTGTCACTGAGCAAACCTCTCATTTCCTCAGACATGGGAACTGTTCTTGACTCATGCCAGCTCTGAGGCACTTTCCATCTCTCCATAGCCCAGCACTGAAAGCCCACATAGTCAGTCCAAGACTGTGGGGGGTGTCTGGAGGCTTTCCAGCCTCAACCATGGCCAACATGATACAGTGACAGTGATTGTCTTGCTCTAAGCAGTAGGTTGGACCACAGACTTCTGAGGGCCTTACCTACCAACATGGAACTTCTCTTTCATGTTTCTACACTGCCTTTATGTCTTCATACAAGTTACTGGGCATTAGAAGTTTGCCTTTCTCCATCAAAACTCAAAAATTATTTCATGTCCTCAGGAGCAGCTCTCCCTGGCAGAACTTGGTTTGTAAAGGCATAAGAAGACATTGATACCATTTCTCCCCTGACTATTAAACATTGTCCGGCTATTGCTGGAAACAGGCAAGGCTGAGTCACAGCAGTCCTTACAGGGCGCACTCAAGAAGAGGAACATGCACATCGGGTTAGAGACCTCATGCCAAGGAAGATGGGCATCTCATGAGTGGCACTCAGCTGTCCCACAAGCTCCTTTCCCATGCTTCAGGTGAGAGTTCCAGCTTCACACACCCCAGTGTGCTCTCCCACGTGTTGAGGATCAGTTTCCAGCCTTCTCCAGAAAGAGCCCCCTACTCTCACACCTGCCTCCCAAATCTTGCAAACCACCCAGGCGTGTTCCTTGGCATAATGAAACCAGAATGACCTTGGAAGCCCATGGCGCAGCTTGCTGAGGCAAAGCTATGCAAACTTGGATTAGTCCCACAGACCTGTAAGCTTTCCAGGAATTTTGTAAGGTCTGATGAGCCCTCCAGCCTCTGCACACAGATTCCTTCTCCACAGATTCCCTGTGCCACCATTGGAAAGTCATTCCCTTCCTTTGCACCTAGTCAAATCAAGCATCTGCTTCCCCAGCCTTGACTTCTCCCATCAGAGAGGACCCCTGTGTCCTATCAAGGCCTGGAATTTCACACTCCTCCAAAAACTGCGGCAGAGAGTGCAAGCACATGGCTTCCCCCAGAGCAAGGATCATCCACTCCACCTGATCTCAGCAGATTTGGCTACCCTACGGTTAGGGCTTCAGCCTCCAAATGTCTCCTGATCTCTCCTCAGAGCCACATGTCAGCTGGAACTGTGGAATACATCAGCATCCTGAGAGAGCAGCAGCCCTCCTGCAGCACTTAGTGACCGTAGCAGTAGAGAGCAGTTTCAAGACCTTTGAGAAGCCTGGAGCCTAATCCCTGTGGTCCTTGTTAGTCACAGCTTATTTCTAGCTCTCCCCAGTGCTGGTGGGACAGACTGGGGGACTGCCACCTGCCCCATCAGCCAGCAAGCCCTGGGGTTTCAGAACAGGCTGCATCTCCCCTGCCTTGAATGCCATCCAGAAAATCCCAAACCTGAGCACACTACAGACAACACGCACACAGGGACCAGTTGGTGTCTCCACCTTTCCCACCTGGAGACACCCTGGGGCCAGATGCCTCAGTGCCACCACTATGCTCAGCAGGGACTCCCTCCCGTAGTGGGACATAGGGGGTCCCTGCCTGTCCCCGCGGTGTCCTGTGCCCGTGCAGGCAGGGACATGCACAGTTCCAGCCTGCTCTGTTCTCCCCCAGAGGCAGGGATATGCGTGGCTCCATCGCACCCTTCAGGTAAGGACACAGAATCACCTGGGTTGGAAAAGACTTTGAAGCTCCTCCAGTGTCATCATTAACCTCCCCCTGACCGTTCCCAACTCCCCCAGATCCCTCAGCGCTGGCTCAGCCCGACTCTTCAACCCCCCCAGGGATCCCGGGGACTCCCCCCTGCCCTGGGCAGCCCATCCCAACGCCCAACAGCCCCTTCTGCACAGAAATCCTTCCTCAGAGCCAGCCTGACCCTGCCCTGGGCAGCTTGAGGCCATTCCCTCTGGGCCTGGCACTGGGTCCTTGGCTCCAGAGACTCATCCCCCCTCTCTGCCCCCTCCTGGCAGGGAGTTGCAGAGGGCCAGGAGGTCTCCCCTCAGCCTCCTCTTCTCCAGACTGAACCCCCCCAGTTTCCTCAGCCGCTCCCCAGCAGACCTGTGCTCCAGACCCTGCCCCAGCTCCGTTGCCCTTCTCTGGCCACGCTCGAGTCATTCAATGGCCTTTTTGGGGTGAGGGGCCCAAAACTGAACCCACTCATCGCATGACCCCACCACCCAGAACCCCCAGTCCTCCACGCAGGCAGGGACATGGGTGGCCCCAACCTCCCAGTGCCAGAGGCAGGTGTGTGCCCCGGGCAGGCAGGGACACCAGTGGCCCCTTGGTGCCCCGTGTGGGTGGGGACGTGCACCTCCTCCTCACCCTGCGCCCCGTCCCCCGGGCAGGCAGGGGCACAAGCAGCCCAGCACCCTGGTTCCCGTGCCGGTGCGGGGACACATGGCCTCGTCCCACCCTGACCCTCACGCAGGAAAGAAACCTTTGGCCCGACGTCTCCCGTCCCCCCACGCGTGGCCCAAGATCGGGAGGACAGCAACAGAAAAAGTTGTGTCTCTGGAAATTCTGTATAAAACCATTCCCAGAAGTTGCAAAGTGTCGAGGAAATGCAAACGTCCCTTGATACTGTTTTAATGTTAAATTTAGGTTTAACGAGGCAGCATGTTCTGGGTTTTCAATTGTTACGTACTGTTGATCTGTTTTAAGCTGTGAAGAGTTGTGTTTCAGTGAATACAGACTTGAAAATCATTCCTTCCCTCATTGTATCTCGTATGAAATTTGGGCAAAGATGTAATGAAACCAGTGGAGTTCAAGAGATCAAGATTTAACTTGTCCTAGGCTAAACTGTTCATTTATTTATTCTTACAGCTGCTCAGACTGTTTTGTGTGCATGTTTGCTGGGCTGGGGACCCCACAACTGAACTTCAGTCCAGCATTGTAGTGTTGGGAAGCAGTTACAGCTCCTGCTTGCTAGGTAATGACAGCAGGAGTGGTGCTTGAGAGCTGCCCTTCCCTGGGCTTGGCTTTCCAGGGAAATAGCCCAAAACAGTTACAGAAAAACATGATCACTCTGTTAGTCTGGAGCAGAGAGTCAAGCTAAGGTCAGGTCCAGATCAGTTGTGAGCCAGTTGTAAAATCTCCCAGTCTCTGATAAACTGTTTGCTGTAATGATCTGGGTTACTGGGCAGAGAATTATTCTGAAACCAAATGTTGCTTTATGCATTGAAAAGTGATTTCAGCTGCCCTGTTTTATTATATTTATTGTAATTCTAACCCACTTCTAGCGATATGGAGCACACTTTTTGTGGCTGAATTGTTCTGGGTTGGATCTTACCTAAAAATACAATTAATACTGTTTTCAGAAAATGAGAATAAAATCAACTCCTTCATGCAGGGACAGAATGAAATTGTATTTGGTCATGAGTCATATTAGCTCCAGCATTCTCTGACTTTAGAAGACTTCCTGGGGTAGTTACATGCAGAGATGCTATTAAATAAGGAAAATAAAAGGACTAAGCATGTAATCAGTTTTGATAGAAAAGATCTAACCCAGGAATGGGGAAGCTCTGTAATCTCTACAACTAAAGTGTTGGTGGGAGTTTGAAGCCATCTGTGGGAATTACACACTGCATTGTCTCATGTAACTCAATGTCCTTTAGCCTTGAGACGTGCTCCTGATCTTCGTGCGCTCCTTGAACCCACCTCCCAACCCCAGTGGTTGCTCCTGCCCCTCTGGACCAAGCAAAAGAAGAGTCCTCCCTTCCCAGATGGCACTTTGCAGCTCCAGGGGACAAGGCTCTTTGAGGAGATGGGGTAGAAATGGGGATGGTGGGCTCCGTCCTGCTCGGCAGTGGTGGCTCCTGGCTGGGGATAATTTTGCTGGTGTGAAACCGGTGTTCTCAGTGGTTCCTTGTCATTTTGGAGGAAGGCTGCATCTACTGGTGTTTGCCTGCTCATGGACTTCTTTAAGGGTGTGCCACAAAGTGGAAAGCTCTGACTGCATCTGCTGCAGGGAAAGACCGGGCTCTGTCTGGGGAGGAGCTGCTCAACAGGTTTCTGCACTTGGGCTGCTACTCAAGCTGCAGCAGGACAGCGGCTGGTGGTTCCCCAGGCTGCCGCCATCCCTCCAGGCTGGAAGAGCCCTGCCCCAGGCACCTCCTCTATTCTATCGAGGGCTTTTGGGTGGCATGTTTCTCTACTGGGCAGTATTTCACCCTGCCCGTTTCCTTGCACTGCCCATTTCCTTGTCCCTCTGGGAAGTTCTGAGGTGGACTTCCCGCAGCTGGTTATTGCAGAGCTGAGCTGGGGCTGGCCAGCAGAGGCTCGAGGCAGCTGGGCAGGGCAGTGCAGGGTCCCTGCTGTGACTGCCTCTCTCCCGCAGGCTCCTGGAGGTGCAGGATGACTCTCTTTGACACCGTCTACCCCTTCTACCCGCAGCAGAGGAAGGCCTTCTTGTTCGATGTCAGCACCATCATAGTGATTGTGGTCTTCCTAACATTCGCTTGCAGCTTCCTGCTCATCATTCCAGGCATCCGTGGACGGGTGGTGCGTGACCCCTCTCCCTAGGGACAAGCATCTGCTCCCCACATTTTGGATGCTGGGACACTCCTGGCTGGTTTGGGGTGAGGCAGAAGGGCAATCAGGGCTGTTCTTCCCTGCTTGATGTCCCACCTCTCTCTCACAGAGGCTGTACTGGACTCTCCGGGTTCTCCTCAGCCTCGTCGTGGGAGTGGTGATTGTTGGTAAGTGCTGCGCAGCGCTTGGCGGTGGGTCTGGGGGCAGGATTAAACCCTGGGGCAGGGTATGGGTCTGGGAAACATGAACTGGTGGTCACACCTGTGGCCTGGCCAAGGCTGGTTGCAGTGTCTACCCTGCTCTGCAAAGCAGTCACACAGCTTCCTAAGAGGGCTTCCGCACCCCTGGCACCGGGGCTGTGAAAGCACCCGAAGGTGCCCGTGGTCACTTCTGAATCAAGAGGGAGCTTTGCTGGCTGTAACTACACTGTAGAGCTCCAGTGGGCTGCACAGCCCCATGTTCCTCTGACCATGTATGTGAGCCAACACAGGTGGGACCCAGGAACAACCATGAAACCACAAATACAACCACAGAGTAAATTTATTTTTGTTACCTCATGAACCAAGTGATTCCCAAAGCAGCACCTGGGCAGAAGCACACCGGTGGGAACGCAGAGCTCAGTCTAGAGGATCATCAAACCTGCTGTTTTCACCTGTATTTCAGGGATCCATGCAGGCTTTCACCACTGTGCTTTGATCTTTCCCGCAGCTGGGCAGGAATCTCTAAATATATCACAGGCCTGTGTTATCTAAATGCAGACTCTCTACTGGTCCAACACATGAGGCTAAACAACAATTAGTATGATATATATGTTTTTCTACACCTCAGCCGCAAGTCACTTGAGCACATTTGCAATCCTCCTCACCACTGTTTTTCCCAAGCCCCGCTGAGCTGCCTGCTGCTGAGGGAGCGGGGCTGGGCAGCTCAGACTGTGATCAGCCTTGCAGTGATGTGAAGAGAGCAGGTCAAAATAAAACACAGGCAAAACAGAGGTAGGGGTGGGGGTCTAAAGACCTTCCAAGGAGAAAGGCAGAAGGAGATGAAGGAGAGGCTTTGATTTAGTAAAACCAGGAAATCTTATGTAATAAATGGTGGTGGAAACCAGATTGTGGAATTTCCAGCTCAGAAAGGGTGACAGGACATGCAAGCCAAAGATGTACTGAGGGCAAAGAAGATACCAGATGGGGAGATCACCCTAAATCAAAGGAGGACAAGGCAGATTACAAGACTGCTTGGAGAGGGATGATGAAGTACAACCTAAATGATTCAGCTCCCAATTTGACCAGGCAATAGAAGTAGGTAGCCAGGCCATGGGACTCTGCTGGCTGACACATGGACCAGCCCAGCATGTGTTGGTCACCCTCCACCTGGAGATGTCCAGGCACTGGGAGATGCCACCAGAGCTGCACAGAAACACATTGCCAGGCTGGAGATGGCAGAGGGTGGAGGTCAGGGCTTGCTCCACAACTTTAACCGGCTCAGCACTGGAGAGCCATCCAGCACCGCTCTCCCTATGAAGATGCAGCTGGGTACTGCTTGGGCACACACGAGGAATTACTTGTTTTAAAGCCAATATCAGGTTTTCTGTCTGGCAGCAGCAGGGCACACTCGACCCTGCAGCTAGAAAATGTTCCTGCAGAGCTGCTACTGGGTCAGTGCCCTTACAAGTTGATTCAGCAGCTGAACTTATTTTGGGGCAGGTTTTCTTGTTCAGCCTGAGATTAAATCATCATCTTCACTTTCAGCTCATTTCAGTTCTGGAAAATTAAGCCCACCCCAAGGTGAGAGTGTTTCAGAAAAGGATGCTTTGTTCCAAAAAACATACCAGAAATGCTTCAAATTTTTCTTTTTCCCCCAGCTCAAATGACTGTCAGAGCTTGCTCTTCACCACCTCCATCTGAAAGCAATCTTCACTATTCACAAATAGTGCAATCTAGGGAGCTTAATATTTGGAATGAAACTCACCCCTGTTCCCGAGGCTGAGGAATGGGCTCATTTCCAAGCCCCGTCCCCAGGGGCTGCAGTGCTTGCCGTGGTGGGGAGCTTGCAGGGAAGTCTTGGAGAGGGTGTCTGAGGAGGGATCTGAGCTCTCCTGCTCCCTGATCGAGGGAGTGGATGCTTAGCGAGGGGAGGACATGAGCTCCGCCAGGGCGTGGGAGCTGGTTGAGGCACATCCTGGTAGCTGAGTCAGCTCTTCTGCCCTCCTTACACTCCCTTGCCTGTGATCCCCACCTGGAGCACAGCAAAGCCTGAGACCAGCCCCACTTTAACCCCAGCTTTACTTTTGCTGGCAGCTGTCCAGTTCACAGGGGACTGGGAGACCGGATGGGTGAAGGCAAACACCTCCTACAAGTCCTTCAGCTGTGCCCTGGTGAAGGCAGACATCGGGCTGCATGTCGGCCTGGGGGGGGTGAACATCACGCTCATGGGTGAGTCTGATATCCCTGTCTGGAGCTCTGGAGTGGCCATGGCCCCTGGAGGTCTCCCAGAGCCCTGTGGGTGGCCTTGGTCTGCATGGAGGCTCCTGGGACCCTGCTGCCCCTGGGGTGCCTGTGCTCCTGGCTGGAAACACCCAGGCTGCTGGGACGCAGCAGGGCCTCCGTCTTCTTCCTCTGGCAGGAAACCCGGTGAGTCAGATCAACGAGACCATCCACTACAACGAGCACTTTGCCTGGAGGTTTGGTGCAGACTATGACCACAGCTACAGCGAAGGGCTGAAGAGGGGGCTGCCCAGCCCCATCCTCTATGTGGCAGAGAAGTTCACCAAGCAAAGCCCCTGCGGCGTGCACAGGCAGTACCGCATCTCCAGCCACTATGCATCGGGCACTCTCTGGTGAGCCTCCTCTCCTGGTGCAGGGCAGGAGAGATGCGAGGATGTGGGAAGGGCTCTTCTGAGATGGATGGTGACTGCATGCTGCCAGGAGAAAAGCCATGTGCATGGAGGGATCTGCAGTCAAACCAGTGGCCCCGTAGGCACCTTGGAGTGAGAAGATAGGAAGTCCTGGTCTGGTCAACTCCACCAGGGATGGGCACAGGAGAGAGGAACGCGATGCAGATCCTTGCCATGATGCGGTGATGACGGCAGTGTTCCATCCCCTCTGAGGGAGTTGGAGCTGCTGTCCTTGATGGCCCAGAGAGGTCCATGGGCATGTGCAGAACTCTCTCATCCCCATCTGGGAAGGCATTTAATGTCTGGGAGTGGGACTAGATGAGGAAAAGCTGATGATGCTGTTATTGTGGGGTCAATCTGGACTCTTTAACAGGATCTGCTGGGCAACAACACGTTGCTGCTCACTTGGGCCAAGGGAGAGCTGATCCACAGCTGTCAGGAGACAGTCCCCTATACCATGGGTTGCGGGGAGAAAGGGTCATAGCAGTGCTATTCCCTCTGCTCTGAGTTTGACAGCAGGTATGCAGAAGCTAGGAAAGGGGCCTGGCAATGCCATGGAGCAAGAGCTCCTGGCCATAGCTGAAGGCTTCCCCTGTCACCCAGCTCCTCAGCCAAGTCCAGAGCTGCTGCTAATGACTTATGCCTGCTCCTGCAATTATCCTAGTCCTGTGTGCTGCTCTCTGGGGTCTGCACTGCCCCATACATAGAAGGTCAGGGAGCTGAGATGGTCTAGATACAGAGTGGGCCACCGTGGCCTCCTTGAGGCTAGTATATATGGGCTGAGCATAGAGGAAATCTGGGCTGCTGCCTTCTGGATGTGGCAGTGTAAGCATCGCGCATCTGCCTGGTCAGCCTGGGAGGGTAGGGATCACCCCAGCCTGCCCACAGAGCTTCCAGGCCTCATGCAATGCAACCTGGAGCCCAGAGTCCTCCTCCCTCATGGAAATCCTTATATAGAGCATCCTATTCTATGTCACTAGCACAACTCATCTGTTCATCTTCTCTTGTCTCCAGGGTGGCCTTTTGCACTTGGCTCATCTCCAACATGCTCTTCTCCATGCCTGTCCTAGTCTACGGAGGCTACATGCTCCTGGTGACAGGGGCCTTCATGATCTTTTCATTGCTCTCATTCTCCACTGTGAGGAACTCCCCGATGTGCCCAATTCAGTTTGGGATTGCAACCCTGCGCACAGGCTATGGAGGATCTTTCTGGCTCACACTAGCAACTGGTAAGGACACTACACTGGGGCACACTACTTTGTTCCTCTGGGTGTGCAAGAGTCCCAGCGTTTTTCCCCCAGAAATGGAGGTGAGAGAGCATGGGGAGTGCAGCCCACCAGAGCCCTGGCCTGTGCCTTGGCAAAGCACATGATTTGTAGCGATGTGGAGAGGACTGACAGTAGGGGGAACACCATCCCCATCTCAAGGGTGATGGAGGGAATTTTAGTCCCTGAGGTGCAGTAATGCAAGATGGAGATCACTTGCTTGGGTTTTAAGACCCATGCCTGTGTTTTGAGATGCTCAACACAGCAGCTGAAGTCACCTCATAGAGTAGAAGGCCATCATCCATAAGAGAAGGCATTGTCTCCCATCAGGGTGCCATGCTGGGTGGGAAGTGTGCTGGTGTTTACAGGAATGCTCTCAGAGAGCACATTGTCTTCCAGGCTTGCTCTGTTTTGTGGCTGGGATCACTGTTGTTGCACTGCACTACTTTAACTTGGATCTACTGAAAACTTTCTTTGATCTCCGCGAGGACAAAGCAGAGGAGTACCAGGAAATGGCTGAAGTGTACATCAACCCTCATTTTGTGAACGAAGGACTGTCTCCTTCTGAACCCTCTAAACTCAACCCCAACAGCATCTAGAATAAAGGTTTTTCCACTCCTTCCCTGAAGGTGGACCTGAAAGGGCAGAACATGAATCCTTCTTGATGTCCCCAGAGACCCATTTCCCCGACCAACTGCCTTTGAGGAGTGCATGTTGGGATGGGTACTTGCTGTGAAGTACCTTTGCAGACTGTATCTCCCTGATCATGTCCTCTGGAAAAAGGCTGGCTTTGCAGAGAGCCTACAGGCTGCAATTGGAGCAGCTCACAGCTCCAGTGACTCACCTGGGGATCTCTGTGCCAGGAGAAATACCCTTCCTGCTCCATGCCCTGGCACAGTCTGGTGCAGTGAGTCTCCGAAGGCCAGCTCCCACACCAGAAACTGAGCTCACAGGTAAGATTTCTCACAGGGAACATCCACTAATCCAAAAGCCAGTGATTAAACCTGCTCATTTCTTTCCCAAGCACTGACATTGAGTGTAGACCTTGAGGTGTACCTAGAAAAGCCAGGCTCAGACCCAGACTCCATCAGGCTGGATGCTGCACAAGATGGAGTAAAAAATCCACTCCAGAAATAAACTGAGTAAATGTGGAATTAGATTTGAAAATAATCATATCACCTTTATCCTCTCTGGCACTTTTAAACGTGGGTTTTATTAGATAGACTTGTAACTTAGTGTGGGCCTAAAAGGTGCCACAAGAAAGGAAAGAGAGGGGAGAATGAAGTTACCCCTATCCATCTGGAGCACACTTGGGCTGGCTGGGCTCACCACGAAGCACAAGCCCAAGGCCAGAAGTCAGACCCATCCAAGGTGAGAAATGAAGTGCATCAGGCTCCATTATTACAAAACAAAGATGGGCTCTGGCACCAAACCCACTGGCCTGATGAAGTCCCCATGGGCTGGCACAAGGAGCCATATCTGAATGCTGGAGACCTGGGAAGGCTCAGTCCAATTAATCATAAAGGACATAATTTCAGTATTTTGGCTCTTTTCTTTCTGAGAAAAGTCTCTCACTGTTACTTATTTCTTTCACATGATATTTGTGTTGCACTAATGTGATTTATTATGCACAAGTATTATTATCTTCAATAAAACTTCATTTAAAAAAACCCACACTCCTTTGAAACACTATGGGCATTCTGGGGGTCTGGTTTCTTAAGACGAGGTTGTGAGGCATATCTGCAGGTGACTGCTTGCAACGTCCCACCAGCAGCACCCTTCCTATGGGGGAAGTTGCCCTGGCAGAGGTGCCCCCAAGGAAGGATGGGGCTCACTGGCACGTGTCACGGTGAGTCGCTGAGAAACCCTTGTCATGGGGAACAGCATGCTGTAGGGATGTAAGAAGCCTCAAAAGGGCTTTGACTAGCTGAGCAGCAGGACAAAAGCCGTAAGATTAAACCAACAAAACTCCATCAGGAAATGGAGGATCCTTTCTCCATCTTTCCTGCATCCAGACATGTCAGGTCTGAAGGGATCACAGGAAGATGCTACAACCAGACACAGGTTATTTGGGCTGGTGTGGGAGAGATCCCATGGCCTGAAAACACAGGAGGTTTGGGGGTTTCACATCCTTTCTGCAATGCATCTGGAACTCTCCAGCCTCCTCTCCTGCTTTTAGGTATGATTTCCCCCTCCAATAGCATCCTCACCAGAAGAAAAACTTTGGCCTGTTGCATCAGACACACAGGGGCATGAACCCAAATAAACAAGACATCAAAAAAATTCAATCCATTTGAAGCACAGGGACACCAGATCTCTGTGTGTCTCGCCCACTTCCTAGCAAACATGGGACAGCTGGGATTTCTGCAGCAGACCTTGCATGGGGCCAGCTGACCAGTGGCAATGACATGATGGTGTGTGCAGAGACCCCTACACTCATTGCATTTCATGCAGAGCAAGGAGTCAGGCAACAGGGGCTGGGTGCCTGCAAGGAGTCTTGCAGGTGGAGGACTTCTTCCCTTGCCACCATAGGGAGGTGCACACAGGAGGGTCATTGCTCAGGGATGATTATTTTGCCTCACATGTTGTCATAGCAGCTTCTTCGCATGCACTCTAAGAACATTATAGCTGTGGCTATATTGCCCCTGGGTTGTGCTGCTGCAGGTCCTACCCCCTCTGTCCACCACAGCTCCCAGCTCAGTTTCCTGCCTGGACTGTTGTTGGGCAACAAGATGTAAAATAATTGCCATTAAATCCCTGGCTCTCAGCCCAGGTGTTTTTTGGCCTCACATTGTCCAGAGAACCTGGCATCTAACCAGAGTCAGTGCCAGCAATGGAGCAAACACAGTATGTGTCTCGGAGAGCACAGCCTGGGGCTCTGCAAGGACTGTGGTCTCCACGCCTGGAGGCAGTCGTTTCACCAGGGCATGCAGCCACCATGCCATCTAGCAGGCAGCAGAGCTGCCCACTCCCCTGCCCCTCAGGCTGGGCTGCAAGGGGGAACACACCAGGGAAAGGCAGAGGTTTATGAGATCTGAATTTCAACTCAGTAAATAAAAGGGGTTTGTTGCACCTAGGACCTAGTCCATCTGTAGGCTGAAGCATCTCCTGGTAGGTGCCACTGGGAACATCCTGGCTGAGGTCTCCTAAGCCCAAGGAGTTCAGCTCCAATCTATTTTTAAATGTCTGTTGGGTCCTCTAGGTCCTCACCGAAGGCTCTTGCATTCTGAGTGGGATGGGGCAAGATGCCATGTCTGAGCATCCCCTCTGCAGAGGGGCCTGTGCCATGGTGGTCCCTCTGCAAACCTCTCTGCTGGGCTGGGGATTGTTCCCATCAAGCCTTCCACATGCCCAGGGTTACTCCAGGAGCTAATGTCCTCCCATATCTCCCCTGCTCATTTGCCTGGTGTGCTCCAATACCCTATTTACTGTGTGTTGACTTGACTTCATTGCCCTGGGTTGACTAGCTGTGCTCAGATGCCCCATACAGGACCACAAAAGGGCTCAGACTTCTTTCCTTCCCTATGGTTGCCATATCACAACAGAGCATCCCCAGCCTGACAGCCCTCAGAGGGATGCCTCTATCAGCAGACAACAGAAAGACCAGGTCCAACTTATTTTATTGAGATAGAGGGGAAAATAAGCAAGCACAAAGCAGAAAAAGAAAAAAAAAACCCAAACAAAAAACCCAACAAAAACCCCCAAACCTGCACAGAGTTTTAAAGTGATGAAAACCAGAAAGGCTCACCCTCCTCTCCCTCCCTGCATGGGCAAGGTACCTGCTAGCTGTTAGCAGGCAGGAGTGGGCGGCTGCACCCACCTTGGGTGTGCAGGATTTCAGCATGGCGTGCCCCATGACACATGCGTTTCCACGGCTGAGCAGGAGGAAACCGAGACTCCCAGACCGGGTGTGATGCTCATCTCTTGCTAATTGATTACAGCCTCTCTTTGGGGCACAGTAGCACCTCCATTACCATCTTCTCCTTCCCTCCCACTAAAATGTTTTGTCTTCCTTTCAGAGGGCTGTGAGAGCACCAATAACTCACAGGCTGCTCACAGGCTGGTAGCTGTGGTTTGTAAGCACTGTACGAAGCAGGAGCCAACCAACCCTCTGACTGTGCAGTTTCAAGGCCAATGTACAGCCCAGGACAACTCAGACTTACATTGAACTTGAGCTGTGCGGTGTCAAGATGGGTCTGAAATCCAGGAGGCCTCCAAGATCAATATCCAGTATCCTACTAAATCATGGGCCTCCTTGCCAGCCCGCTCTTTACCCCAGGCCAGGAAGAGGTGCTGGATACAGGGCACCATGGTGGAACACAGCTCCACTCGCTCTCCCTGGCCGCTGGTTGGAAAAGCCTCCCCGGGCAGAGGGGACTTCTCAGGGGCCTTCAGGGTGGAGGTGCCACTGTGGGGTCTCTACTTCTCCTTTGGTTCATAACTGTGCATCTGCAGTTATTTGGTTTCTCTCCAGCTTGTTCTGATTTAATCTCTGTGTTTTAGGGAGGACTCAGGGTTTGTTGGGGGTGGACTCAGGGGAAAGGCAGTAGCCCAGCACCTGTAACCAGACAGCCAGGGATGGGGCATGGATTCTCCTCGCCCCAAAAGCTCTTACAGCTGCTGGTGAGTAAAATAACAGAAAAAAAAAAGAAAAAAAAAAAAAAAAAAAAAAAAAAAAAAAAAAAAAGAAAAAAAAAGAAAAAGGCAAACTGTCATAATCGAGACATCTTTCCAGATGTGGATATTCTTGTTACCTGGTTTCTTGTGTCTCTTCCCACCTGGGCTCCTGGTGGGGTTGGACCGGAGCATGAATTCAGGAGGGGAGGAGGGGTGTCCTCAGGCTTTGCTCTGCCTCCTCCCAGTACCTTACAGCTGGGTGGCTGTCACCTCACAAAGCTCACCCAGGGGCACCATCAGCACATCCTGTGCAGAGGAGCTGGGCTCGGCTGGCCGGCAGCACTTGTCCCATCTCTCCTCTTCTTCTTCCTTTCCCTTGTCCAGGTTAAAGACAAGCTTCAGCTTCTCCGGCTGTGTGGAGTTCAGGGTGATGACACCCAGTCCCAGCAGCAGGCACAGCAGCCCTGCAACGCACGGTGTGGGGAGACTCATTAGCACCTCCTGCCCGCTGTGTCCCAGCCCCATCCAGACCCAGATCTGGGGTTGGAGGCCAACGGTATGTGGCATCAGCCAGGAGGTCAAGGGAAGGTGTTATTTCCCTTTCCACGCTGGACTCTGCCATCAGTTTGGGCTTCCCAGTACAAAAGAGAAGTCAATGAAGTGAAGCAGATTGCCAAGAGAGTTGGGACTGGAGCCCACTGTGTGAGGGTGAAGGCTGGAGGAGCTGGGCTTGTTTAGTTGGAAAATGAGGATTCTATAGGGGAACTAATTGCCATCTTCTGCTACTGAAAAAGAGCCAGTCTCTTCTTGGAGGTGCACAGTTGTAACAAGGGAACTTCCATCTTGATAAAAGAAATATAATTGCTGCCCATGAGTGGGACAGCTGTGGGGCAGGTCCTGAAAGGAAGAGGGAACCTCTAGCCATGGGGACATCCACAACCAGACTGAACAAGGCTGATGTGGCTTTGAGGTTAACCCTGCTCTGGGCAAGGGCTGGGAGAGACACCCCCAAGGGTCCTTCCAGGTCAGGTCTTGCCCTGACTCTGTGATTCATTACTTTCATGACACTCCTCTGGGCACACCTCCAGACAGATTAGTTTGCCCGTTCAGATCTCCTGGATGCTCAGCTCTTTTTCCCCCAGTCTCGATGACGTTATCCTAAATTCCTGTATGTCATTGAAAAAAATCATGGTTTCTGTGACCAGCCATGAAGACAGAAAGGATGAGGCGCTGTTGGGCATCACTGAGCATCATCACTGCAGGGATTGAGAAAAAAAGCCCCAGAAGCAAGCTGAGCACTCACCTGTTGCTAATGTCAGCCAAAAGGATCCACCATAGTCTGTGTTCAAGGAAGCTGGGCCAAACAGGATGGGACACTTCAGAGTGTTCCTTGCAGTGAAGAAGATCAGTGAGGAGAGCATCAGCACGGCAGTGAGCAGGAGCATGCAGCCACCGTAGAGCAGGATGGGCATGGAGAACAATAGGATGGAAATGAGCCATGTGCAAAAGGCCATCCTGTGAAAGGACCACAAAACCAAGCCTGGAACCTGTTCTCAGGGTCTTCTCTCCACATCCTGATGGAGGGACAGCCCTGGACAACCTGCCTTGCTTGAGCTCTAGCTGGACAGTCTGATCTCAGGATGTCCCTTCCAACCCAAACAATTCTGTCTGCATGAATGGTGGAGCTGTGGAGCAGGTCCTGCAGTGGTGGAGAGCGATCTCCATGCCTGGGGACATGCAGTATTGAACCACAAAGCCCCAGGCACTTTGATATGGCTTTGACATCAGCCCTGCTCTTCATGGGGGACTGGAGTAGTAACCTCTGGAGGTCTCTCCAAATTAACTCTTTCTCTGACTCTCATGGTCCTCCACAACTGTTCCCAGGCACTTCCCATCTGTTCAAAGGGAGAATGGCAACAAAGGAGACCTTTGTTTGGAGAACTGCACAAAGAGCCATGCCCACATCTGATTCAGCACCTGGAGTGGACCCAGCTGCCAGCCCTACCCTGTGCATGGGCTTAGGGTTTAGCTCACTAGGGAGGTGAGCATAACAAATTGTTCTTATTCCAAGAATAATAACAAAAAATAAGTTTACATCAACATCCCTGCCTTGAAATACTCCTTCTCAATAGCAGGAATGTTTGGGCAGCGCTAGTTATTTTTCATGAAAATAAAAAAGGAGATATGAGCAGGGATCTGGAACCTACGTCAGTAGGAGGAGTCACAAGACTCACTCTTCCCTGCAGTGCCTTTCCCATGACCTCAGAGACATATGGGGATGCTCTGAGACTCCACGATCACAGCTCACACAAGGGGTCTCAGATTTACACCACGACAGCCTCTGAGCACCATTTTGATGGTCCCTCCTGCTCCCCACCAGCAGGTCTCCTGCCCTCTTTGGTGAGCAAGAGGAACTCTGCCATGGCTGGTTTTACTGGGGCTCTGCATCTTGCTTGGGAAAGGACCTTGTACCATAAGTCCCACACAGTTGCATCTCCTTTCCTTTAAATGAAGAATAATTTTTCTCCAACTGCAGTTTTGAAATTCAGGGCAGAGAAGACAGAATAAGATTCTGGGGAGATGGGGCAGGCCAGTAACCATAAGCATCCCTGATTCTGCAGACAGGTGGGTGGCAGAGACCAGTCAAGGCTTTGGCATGGCCTTACAGGGAAGAAGGTGGCTCCATCAAACTCCCTCTGCTCCACCTGGTTCTTTACACCTCCCCACTGATCAGAGACAGGGCTGACCTCTTGCTCTAACTTACCACAGTGTGAGGGACGTGTAGTGGCTGGAGATGCGGTACTGCATGTGCATGCTGCAGGGGCTTTGTGTGGTGAACTTCTCTGCCACATAGAGGATGGGGCTGGGCAGCCCCCTCTTCAGCCCTTCACCATAGCTGTGGTCATAGTCTGCCTTGAAGCTCCAGGCAAAGTGCTCATTGTAGTTGATGGTCTCATTGACCTGATTCACTGGGTTTCCTGACAGATGATGAAGACTAAGAACCTTTCTCAGCCTTGGAGGCAGCTTCAAGACTTCCTGGTGTGGGGGCTTGAGGGCCCACAGCCCCAGTACCCAGGTGCACGGCTGCCAAACTTGTACTCAACCCCCTCCTGTTGAGACATGTACTCACCCACCAGTGTGATGTTCATTCCTGCCAGGCCAATGTGCAGCCCAACATTCACGTTCACCACAGCCTGACTGAAGGACTTGTAGGAGGTGTTTGCTGTCACCCAGCCTGTTTCCCAGTCCCTGGTGAACTGTACAGCTGTGAAGACTTCAAAGGTTAGTCATGGCCTGGCAGTGAGACATCCAGTGCTGGAAGCATCTGTCATGACCTCATCAGGCCAGGTCACCATGGCCTGAGCATTGTCTACCCCATCCCAAGGGAAGGCCTGGCTTGTGAGACCCACGGAGCAAAAGCCTTGTATGTCCTTCCCTAAAACCAATCCTGACCTGTGACCTTGAGAGCTGCACTTGGGTTGGTTTCTCCCCAGACCCAGCACAGTCCCTAGCCCTAGCGGCAGTGGGGCTGATGTGTGGGCACCCTCCAGGCACTGATCCTCTTCTAAGAACCTGTCAATTTGTCTGGGTCCCCTGGCAGTTAGTGGTAGGCTTTTGATGACTGCCCTGGAGGCGGTCTGTGCGTATGACCTCCAGCCTTCAGAGAGGAGAGAGATGGGTGCTTGCACTTCCCACAACTTGCTGGAACCAGGTACCAGACACAGATGTGGGTCAGTCTTCCCCATAAACTCATCCTGCAGGCTGGACTTGGCACTTGGTTGGTCTGTTCACCCTCCCTCACCTTGCTCCTCCATTCCCTGTGTCTCGGGCATCCTTGAGTTTCCCATCCAGGACCCTGGTACTCACTGAGGACCACTGCTCCCACGAAGAGACCCATCACCACCCTCAGGAACCAGAAGAGTTGCTGCAATGGGTGAGCAGAGGAGGGAGGACAGGTCTCAGTCAGACTTGCCATGGGGACTTCAACACTAAGTATGTCATTTAGAAATTCCAACCAGTGAGAAACAGGTCTGTCCCTCCCCTGTGGAGTCACCCCATGGGCTCTGCAGGCTGGTGGCATGGTGGGGACACATGGCTGGGGCATTCCTGCCATGGGGTGGGGGAGGCTGCAGGGAGACCCAGGCAGAACAAGAAGGTCAAAACAGCCCATTAGGGAAAGCTGTGCCGTTCCCTTTCTGGGAAGGAGAATGGAGGCACTCCCTCTAATAGTTCTCAGCTGGAATTTCCACGCTTATCCAAGTGGACACGTTGGCAGCTGGCCACAGCTGGACATAAAAGCAGGGGCCAGGGGTTTGCAGTGTGTTCCCTGGAGGGGAGATGCCTCTTGGCCAGCCCCACTGCAAAGCCAAGTGAGCGACCAGTGCACGGCACGTGAGCAGTGGGCTTGCAGAAGGGTTGGTTGGCTGCTGCCCCATGAGCAGTTTCTTTTATTGGGATTTTGGGGAAGGTGGAGTGAGGTCTTTGAGCCTCACCCTGTTTTTGCACTCCTGCAAAATCACTTGGGCTTGCTCACAGTGAAATCCAGCTGAGTTCAGATCTGGGCACCTTGTAAATTTGGGATGGTGGTGTTTGCTGTCTCCAGCGTGAGGTACATGCTGGGTTGGGCTGGAGCTCACCCCCATGGCTTGCTAGAGATCCCAGAGCCCTGACTATGAACCTGTGGGCGTGTTTGCCCCCCACCCTGTTGTCAAGGCTGGCAAGGAGGAGGCATGTGGGATGCACAGGTCAGGGAACAGAGGGCTGAGATCCCCTAGACTCTCCACTTACCCCCCTGCCCCGGATCCCCGGCAGGATAATGATGAAGGTGGCCAATACAGAGAGGAAGACGGAGATGATGACAGCTTGGGTGGTGTCAAAGGGGAAGGACTCACTGGCACCAGGGTAGAAGGGGAAGGATCCATTCCACAGCGTCATCCTGCTGCCCAGGAAGGCTGGAAATCAGCACCCAGAGAGACACTGGGGAGAAAATCACCCCTGCATTTCCACCCCACCCTTTGCAGAGCCATCTCCTGCCCACTTGCCAGCATACTGCTTGTCCCGGACATGTCTGTACGTGCATCCCAGTGCCCATGCGTATTGCAGTCCTGCATCTGGGTGCTCAGGCATCTCCCATGGGAGCCCTCTGTCTCCCTAGGGTACATCCCTGAGCAAAGCAGGTTTGGAGTCACGAGGCCACCCGCTGCAATGCTCAGATTATCCCCAAGATGCCACAGAAAGATGTGCATGCGTTGCTGGAACTCTCACTCCCCTCCTCTGACTGTCCTCAAGCCCCCATCCCTTGCTTGTGCTCCCGCCCTCCCTGGCTCAGCTCTTTCATTATCGGGAGCCGGCTGGAGGCAACGTGCTCAGGAAGCCAGGCGTGATTTTTGCCACAACTGGCCAAGACACGTCCCTGCTAGGAAAGGGCTGCTCAGCACCCCTGGGAGTGGGGACCATCCCAGCAGCAGCTGCAGAAACACCAGTGCCCCCCTCCCCGCGCTGAGCCTACCTCGCTGTGGTCAGTCTCGAGGGTTGGCTGCTGTGCAGAGCTGCGGAGTGATCCGGGACGCTGCCTCCCTTCCCGCGCTGACTCCCTGGGCTGTGGGGGAGAAGCCAGCCCAGCATGTCGGGGTTGTCTTTCTCCCAGTGCTTTTTACCGTGCCCGCCTCCAGAGGTGCCTGGATGGTGCAGCCTCACCCTCAGCTGATCGGCCTCCTCTGGCACTCCTGCTGAGCCCCAGGGCAGGCAAGGGGCGCTACGGGCTGGCACGGTGTGGTGCAGTGCTGCGGAGGTGAGTGATCCCAGTGGAGCTTTGCCACCTTCTCAACTTTTCCTGCAGAGCAGTGAAAAGTCCAGCTGTTCCTTATGGCATGGAAACCCTGGGGCTGACAGGCTCCTTAGGAGTCTGCTGGGGACTGCAGCTGAGGGCTTCAAAGCTCTCACCTGCGCTGCTCGGTGAAGCATCCCAGCTGAGGTCATCCAGCGTGGGTTGTGGCTGTGTGCTCTCCCTGCTGACCCTGCTCCTGACTCCATCCCCTGGGGGAGGTTCCCCGCAAAGGTCTTGGCCCACCTGTAGTAACTGGACAAGGTGACACAGTGACTGGTGAGGGGGACCAGCAGAGAGGCACAGATCTTGAGGGGTTCCAAGACCTATTATGCAGAAAAAAAATGCTCAGGTTACCGAGTCACAGTGTGGTAATTCAAGCTTTTGGGGTTTTCTGTCAATCTTTGGCACTTTGGTTGGCTGAAGAAGGTTGAATTGAAGCTGAGAGGTCCTAGCGTGACAGAAACACTCTCCTGATCCACATCTGGGGGCTTCCTTCTGAATCTGGCACAATTACTGCCATCCCCTAGGTATTTCTTTCTGCATCGCAGTGGATGGCCTGGCTGGGTGCCCTGAAAAGCTGTGCATCCCACCCCCACAGCAAAGAGAGGTAAAAACATTTTAATTCATGTCCCACAGGAAATAAAGGCATTTCTGGGTAAAGACTTTGCCATTGCCCCCCAAGTCCCAGACTGGTGCTATCCAGTCTGAACACTGAGTCTCTCTCCAAGGGTTGTTTTTAAACAGCAGCACAGTGTTTGTGTGCACGGACACTGTGAGAACTCACAGGGCTGCTCTGGTTCCCTCATCTGTCCCCAGTAGTGACGGAAATGGGGGGTGATGGTGGTGGTGAGATACTCCACTTCCCTGGGGTGATGATGGGGTTGTGGGGTGGCAAACCTGGGAAAACTGCTGGATTTACCCCTCACCCAGCACTCTGCATGCACAGAGGTCCTACAGAAAGCCTGAGGCCATGATGATAACAGTGGTTTGGGATTTTTCTCTCTCTTTTTAATTTTCTAGGTATTTCTTCAGGTAGTAAAGGTGTGTAGTTCATCAGGTCTGGGACCTTGTTCTCACTCACCAGGAGCTTGCAGCCTCACGTTCAGGGCGCTGCTTCCACTGTCAGCACCCTGCCCTTGCTTGGGCAGCTCTCTTGTATTGGGCAGTTTCTGCTTCACTCACTTGTGAGTGATGGATGGGGAGATTAGAGATGAGTCACCTGATCCAGGTCACCGGAGGGAGGTGGGGGCGAGGGGAGCAGCACCCATCACCTCTTGCGCAAGCAGCCACACAGTGTTGGATCAGCCTCTGCCGGGAACCAAGGCGGGGAAGGTGTGGGGACATGCCTCGGCAGGGAGGCAGTTTTGGGGATGGAGCTGGAGCCCCGAGAGGCCACCCTTTGCTCAGAGGATTTCTACCTGACCCATCGCTGCCAGTGGGACAGACATGGTGCTTGTCTCCAGTTGTTACCCGGCCCCACTGGTTGTCCCCATTGCCCCTCTCTCCTGGTCCACAGCACAGAGGACGCTGTAGCTGGGGTTAAGCTGGGGCTTTGTTGTGATGAAGCCTGTCCAGTGTCCCATCCTGCTGCTTGGATGCAGCTCCTTGCTCAGGATCTTTTGCAACACCTGAATGACCCATGATGGAGCATCTTGCAGAGAGGGACAGGAGGATGGATGGAGGGACTCCCTCTGGCCAGTTTCCACCTAGCTGAACAGAGAGGTTCATGGTGCTGTGGCCAGTTTGGTTCTAGATATATTTGCAAGAAGGTTCATTTTTCCAGCTCTGCTTGTAAGTTACTGAAAGATTTTGAGAGAAGGGGAAGGTGTTGCTGCCCACTACACTGCCCAGTGAGCTGGGTTTTGTATCTCACAATGGAGACAGCTCAGGGTCAGCTGAAAGGGCTGCTAGGAGATGGAGGCAGAGCTCAGCAGGAGCCACCCATCATCCTAGTGGGAATTGAAACAGGAGGGGTTTCAGCCACACTTCAAGGAAGTCCTTTTCCAGAAATTGTGTTGAGTGTTCAGTCTTCTGCTCCTTCAAGATCCATCTTGTAGGAGAGGAACAAGTCTTCTGTGGTCTGGACCTTCAGAGGCATGTGCCAGGAAGAGCATCTTACTCGGGACTCCTTCATCACCTTTGCTCCCAGCCCCAAACAGGCTTTCAGCTCCTGTCAGTGCTGTTGCAGGTTTCCATGTGCTCTCAGAGACCCGGGACACAGAAACCCAGATGCCCCATTACCCTTCTGAATATCTCCATCCTGCCCAGAGACCCCATGTTTGACCCTGTGGGCACTGAGACCAGTGCCTGTGATGGGGAAGGGGACACGCTGATGCAGGGCTGGGCCTGGAGCCAGTCCCTGTTCCTTCCCAAGCATCATGCCCCATGCTGGGATTGCCCAGCTTGGATGAGGGGCTGCAGGTCCAGTCTCTCCTGTTACACAGATGCCCCTTCCAGGCTGCCCTGATCCCAGTGTTGCAGCTCTGCAAGAGCTGCTGGGACAGAGGGATAGAGGGAGGGAGTGTGGGAGGGTCTGAGATGGTACCCTGATGCACTGGGAGAGTGGAGGAGAGGGGGAGGACATCACTTCTCATCTTGCTCTATGTTAGAGATGTTGCCTCCCCACTAAAGAGCAAGGAGGGTTGCGAGCTCCCAGATTGCCTGTCCAGCCTCATCCCTGAGGGTCCTGCTCATCTGACCGTGGTCTGCTGCCCGAGCATGAGTGTCAGGAAGTGCATTAGCCTTTGGGAAACACCTCATCAGGGATTTTGTCATCACAGCTTGGCGAACCCTGTCCCCACAGATAACAGCCATTCCTCCCAGTTTGACGTAACTATCAGCTAGCTGAGCTTTTCCATGCTTTGCTGGGGCTTGTTAATGATGTACTGTGTGGTAATTAGTGCTTTCATCCCAGGCTGCAACTTAGAGAGAAGCTTTCTCTCATAATCCCTGTTGTTAGAGGCCTAATTAAAGTGATACACATTTTTCCATGGAACTCTTGTGTCTAGTGTTTCCCTGGCAGCCTTGAAATTTATGCACAGAGCAATACTACCCCACCTTGGACTGTGATGCAGATCTGTGTCTGAGCACACAGAAGCACTCTGCACCCTGTACCCTGGCTGTGGGCAGATGATCATCTGAATATCAGTTTCTTCCATCCAGGCAAAAGTGTTGAAAACACATGGTGTAATAAGAAATCATGCACCACTCTGAAAAGCAGTGGAAAGACCTGAGGGCTGATTTGCAAAATGTGGACAGAAATATTGTAAGATAAATTCTAATCAACTGCTTACTTAATATATTAAAAAAATAATAATCCATAGAGTCAAGATAGTATGGAAGCAGAGATGGGTTTGTGTTTTGCTGATTAAGGATACCAATTAAACTCAGACACCAGAGTGAAAAGAGCAGGCGTATTTTACTGGTGATAACTGAATAATGTAACAGTGTAATACAGAAAACATGCAGTAAGAAAAAGCAGAATAGTGCACTTAAAGCAGCAAACAGGAAAATACAGGGTAACGCATCAAATCATTACTACACGAGAGAGAGAATAGAGATTAAGAAAAATACATCACCACTTGCATACATTGCCATCATCCAGCCCCGCAGTGGCTGGGCAGCCCCGGTCACAGCGAGGGTTTGCAGAGCCTGTCCCGGCAAGCGGGAAATCCTATGCGGTGTGTCCATCCATAGGTGAGGCTTCCAAAGTCTCTGCAAACGGGCCCAGCCTTATATACCAGAGACTGACAGGCCAGAATAGCTGGCACCTTTGTTTTGGGCGGAAAATTTCCGTTTTCATTCTCCTGTTGGATTCCACCCAAAGCTTGGCCAGGGCTCAGGGGGGGAAACCAAGGGAGTTTCTAACAAGGCCAGATCCTTGGGTTCTCAGCCTTGAACAGGCTGAGCAAGGGAAGTTGGATACAATCTCTCCTCACTCCTGATTATATTCTGTCTAAGCTGCATCTTTCACTAGTGAGTTTACATACTTTGTTAACGATTACATGCCAAGTTAGCAGCTTCGGCTTGGGGCCTGTTGTTCAGACTTCAGTATTTCAATGCTTTAAGCACTTTTTACATCAGCGTAAGTGGGTTGTTATAACTTAGT